CTGAACCCTGGCTGGAAGAGAGACAATATTAAACCCCTTCATGCTGATATGCGAAGAAGACGTAAGATTTGCGTAGAAAAGGGTAAACCACGCTCAAAAGATGATGTTTCATATGTACAATATAAACAAGCAAAGTTTGTGTTCAGAAGAATGTTTAGAACATCTAAGCGAAAATCTGAAAATGAAAAGCTACAGGAAGTTTATAATGCTGCTGAATTGGACATAAACCACTTTTTTAGAACACCCAAAAGATTGAAAATTAAAAAGGGGCATATAAGATCTTTAACTTTTGAATCTGAAATTAGCAGCACTTCTCAAGAGATATGTAACTCATTTAGCAAATATTTCTGTAAACTTGCTACACCTTCTGAACTACACGATTATGATCATGATTTTCAAAAAGGGTGTTTGTGAGGAAATGTCTTCTATTGTTCACAACAAAGATATTTTCCAAGAAATATTGTATGTTCCATTTACCAGTAAGGAAATCGTCTCTTCATTAAAACGCCTTAAGAATGGCAAATCTCCTGGCCCTGATCGCTTGTGTAATGAGCACTTAAAGTATGCAGGCAGGTCCCTAACATCCCAGCTCTGTGTCCTGTTTAATAACATCTTAAAGTATGAGTATATCCCAGAGATATATAATATTGCACATATCATACCAATACATAAAGGGAAAGGGAAGAGTAAATGCCACCCCTCCAATTATATCAATATCTGATTTTGTTCACTTTTGGGAAAATGATGACGATGTAATAATTGCTGATTTACTTGGTGGATCTTGTACAACACTTGGTAACTTAAATATCACAGAATGGGCGGAAGTTATGTTATTAGTGGCTGAGTTTATGTCAGTTTGTCATTCTAAAATATCTGCACAATTAACTGTCTACTGAGTCAATGTATATTCAACTTGACACTTTGTTGTAACATGAAACAATCTTCATATTTTTGGAGGAAATAAAGATAATCTATCTGTAGTTGTTATTAGTTTTTTACTCTTGTGTTATTACATTTATACTATTGTTTTCTGTACCTTAGCGGGCGGGTAGCTAATGAGTGAGTTGTTGCTTGTTTGGCTGCTTTGTCTGCGTTTTCTTTCAATGTGTTTGTTTTGATTTGTTAGTGTGCTGGTGGTATGCAGTCTTCTACGTAGTTGATTTGGTCTGATTGTGTAATTAGGGCGAGCGTTTGACTCTATATATGACGCGTACGGACCTCAGATAACACAACCAGCCATTATGCTTGCTCTTGTTACGCTTCATACACGAAAAGTACGGGGTTGTACATGCCTGTATTTGTTGTACGCATTCTGAACATTTTGCAATGAATGGGTTTTATGTTTTTTTGGCTCTATTTTCTGTATCAATAGTCAGCATTATTACAAGAAGGCCTACCAGCCTTGGCAGAGTGATCACCCACGGCGGGGGGCGTGTTCTCAGAGGTCTATAACAACTTTTACAATCTCTGTAGTGCTATTCATGTTACAATTAGGTTGTGATTTCACTATATCTTCCCAATCCCCCCTTGAAAATGTAACACCCTGATCATGTACCCTGAACACCCTGATCAACTACTATGATAGGGGCAATTAACATGAACGCACAGCCTACCCGCACTTTCACACGATGTACTTAAGAACAGGTAGTACGATGGTCTAATAAACAGTACTTCAAAGAAATTTTTGTAAAATTTAGTTCTACGCACAAGGGGCAGTACGATGCACCAGTGAATGTACTGTTTATGTGGCCACCCTTCACACATGTGACATTTGTAAATGTTTCCATTCAAACGTAGGGCCATTCTACGTCAGTTCATATACATTGTGTTTGGTTTATCCCCTTCTTTGATGATGATTATAAGTCTTACGTCGGCTTCTGTCTGTGGTCAACAGGGTAGGTGGGAGCTAGTATAATAAATAATTAATATGGTTTAGTAACGTATAAACCACCATACCCCCAAAAATGTAAATGATGGGGAGAAAGTAGCAGCGGCAGTGAGTAGAAGGCTGCGAGTGAGCTGGCTGGGGTGGGTGGCCTTGACCTTGTCCTGGAGAGGTTGGACTGCTTTGTTTACATTTTATTGGAAGCTGATTGGCTGGGGAGGGAGTGGACCTCGCAGCACATCTAAAGCGATATGGATAAATGAATTCGAGTCCCATGTCTAAATGAGCAGGCTTATATTGGTGATAGAATGCTAGTATGGATAAGTGAAATTTTGCCGCCTGATCTAGATATATGAACTAGTAAACAGTTTTGTTTGGGAAGTTCCAATTTTTATAAAGTAGGATGGAGTTTTGTATGAAGGTGGCTATCGCTTGAAAGATAATGGGCGTATTGTCGGGGTTGAGGCGTAGATGTATACCAATGTCAGTTTTTTTGTTGGGAATGTCGCTGTGAAGTTCATTCATGTTTGTATATTTAAGGTGCCAATTTGTGAATATGTGGTTTATGTCCTCTTGTGTATTGCAGTGTGTGCATAAGGCATCTGCGTGTCTATTTTGTTTGTAAAGTGTGTAGTTTTTTGTGATGCCTGTAATTGGTCTGGGTTTTCTTATAGCCGTATCAATATTTCTGATATTTGAGTATGTGGGTATTCTGCAGGCACTCTTCTCCCTCGGCAAAGTGTATCGTATAAGAGTACATTAGTTGTTCCCCTCGGACCGTACGAGGAGGCAAATGTAGTTTATCGATCATGTTTGTACGAGTCCATATCTATGGTAATGAAACTTAGGTGGAGTAAATGGGTAACAGAATTCGTATGGTTGAGCAATTTGTATATAAATCAAGCCTGATACACCCATATGCTCAGACGATACTAATGTCAACCTGAAACTGTGCCTCATTTGCTCAAACACAGAAATAGCCTCTGTTTATGCTCCATGGTGGTAGCATATTTATATGCCCACTTACCTCACTTGGTGCTTGTCAGTATCCACTGCAAGGCACTCTAGTTAAAGTGAATTATGTTAAAAGTTAACATGACGTCAAAGTTGTTTGAGAAAATTATCTTTATTTTATATCATTGGGAAAGGTTCACAAATCCACCTTTTGTGTCCTCTGTTGCATACAATAAGAGTTATTTAACATTCTAAGTTACATCGACAGTATTTCAGCCAAGTCACAGTGTGGCACATAAGGTATGAGGGTGAAAGTTTGAAGTAATTGGTACAAGGGCTTCATTATATCGTACATCATGTACAGCATACCCGTAAGCGAAACATCCTTATATCATATACCTTGCACTTTCAAAGTTCACGTGTGAAGAAAAACAGTTGGCTCGGATAACTGAAAGGAATTGAAAAATTATTTAACTAAGAGCCTCTACTGACAAAAACTAAGCAACTACAAGTAGGTAACACGTTATAAAAGGCAAAAGTTTCAAAAACAACTAGAAATAGGTAAACCGTAATCACACTATAGTCGTGTGTTGACTACACTACCCTACACATTGAATGGTATACATGATAGCCTTACTCCTTTCATCTTTAGCCTTACAAAGGCCATAAAACATGATTACAAAATGCCATTTATTTAGAAAGTGGTCAAAATGTAACATATCTTATATATGGGATTACACTTTGTGAGTAAAGTGCAAATGCTAGTACTTTTTGGGGTGTAGGCCCACGCAGGATTGAAATCCACACCCTCAGAGTCAGGTACCCACGCGATTAAGTACTCAACTCTGAGGGTGTGTGGATTCCAATGCTGTATGGGGGGTCCACTCCAAAAAGTACTAACATTTGTACTTTACTCACAAAGTGTAATCCCAAATATAAGATATGTTACATTTTGCCAGCAACACATGCATCAAAGCAAATAAATATTTTACACTGGTTCAACTACAAATAAGAGTGAGTGAGTGAGTTTAGTTTAACGCCACACTCAGCAATATTCCAGCTACATGGCAGCGGTCTGTAAATAATCGAGTCTGCAACACACAATACAGTGATCAACAGCATGAGCATCGATCTGTGCAATTCGAAAACGATGACATGTGTCAACCAAGTCAGCTAGCCTGACCACCCGATCCCGTTAGTCGCCTCTTACGACAAGCATAGTCGCCTTTTATGGCAAGCACATGGGTTGCTGAAGACCTATTCTACCCCGGCATCTTCACGGGAAAGTACAAGTAAGAAAGCATGAAGAATAAAACAACTTGTAAACTAGGTACAACATGCTGTCTGTAAAAAGACAGTAAACAAAGGCACTCACGTTGGCAGTGTATTGCATACGTCACAACTGCACCAACAAGATAGTAGAACCCACACCCTCCGAGTCGGGTACCTAATCGCCAGCACACAAAGTCATCCTCCTAACCCGCTCAAGTCACCCTGGCTGAGCGGGTTAGGTAGATGACTTTGTGTCCTGGCGATTAGGTGCCTGACTCGGATGGGGTGGGCTCCAATCCAGGATTGGGCTCAAATGCAAAAAGTACTAAAATTTCACTAATAAAGTGTACTGACAACTAAAAAAAGCACAAATGAACATAAACAGATGTATAAAAGCAAGTAAATGTTCTACACTTGTTCAACTATAAATATGAAAGTGTATATATAAAATAACTTCTAAAACTACGTACAACATGATGCCAGTACAGGGCTCGATTTAGTGCTTTGCTACTTGCACCGTTGCAACCTAACATTACAAAGTGCAACCTAGTTATTAGTATAACTTGCACCAGGCGCAAGTCATTTTTTGAGTGTATGAACTTCTGAATAAAACATCTAAATAATTCAATAGCATATTTCTTATATTACATATTGCAATAAAAACATGCCAACTGGAATTTGACTAGTGCAACTAGCTTCTTATCTTAGGTTGCACCTGGTGCAAGTAGGTTAAAATCTCTTAAATAGAGCCCTGCAGTAAAAATAACATGACTAGGCAGTAAACACTATCCCATACTATCACATATCCTCATATACACCTACTTGCACTTAACTGTTACATCTCCCACCCTGTAATTTTATGCCCTTTACCACACTAACTTACATATTCCACCCATACACATCATACCTCATACATCCATTACACCCTCATTTTTCACTCACCTATAAACCTAATACAATACAACTTACACCATATTAACTTATTCCTTCCATGTATAGATACTATGCAGTGGTACCCTAGACACCCAGTACTAACGCTAAGCCTTACCTGCTAAGTTATGACATACCCCCTAACAGTACACAAATAAACAACCACCCTCTGGAATCTTCACGAATACAACAAATTGCTGAGGCAAATAGTTTGTTCACGGAGTGGTTGGCTTAGACATGACGTGGAACAATTTGTAGAAGGAGTCAATTTTGTAACCAACCGAAGACTTCCAGTCTTCGGTGTCTGTCCACTGGTTGGCTTTCAGTCCTTCCACCCATACGGTTTTCTTCAAAGTGGCCGACTTACTGAAATTATGGTTCCTGCACATTTTCTTTATGAAGTGTTCAGCAGCCTTGTGTGTTGACCAATCGATGCGCGCCTTTCTAAGCGCCAACTTCTTCTTTCTGGCACCAGTACGATATTCATTGTCTTTGGAAGGTTCTTTATGCACCTCAGCCTCTGTCACTATTTGTTCAATGTCCTCGGCTTTTGCAACGACATCCACCTGTGAACATGAGGGCACAGGTTCCTCGGCTTCTTTAGAAATATCATCAGCTGTTTCATGCTTGGGTGTGAAGGTCATCACCCCCTTGCTGATGATTGTTGACACTGCTTGTGGGAGATTGCTCTCCCAACTATCAACTTTCTCCATAACTTTCTTGCTGTACTCTGTTTCATGTTCTGAGAGCATGTCTTTTACTTCCTCTCTGAGAGTTTGCATATGCGCTTCAATTGTCTCTTGTATGTAGACCTTTTCTGTAGTTTCATGCCGTTCAACTGTCTTTTCAAGTTTATCCCTGAGCTCTTTGGCCTCTGACCGGAGCTGTTCTACCATGTCCTTTGCCTCTTCACTAGTGAAGGCGTTGTCATATAGGTAATCAATCTTCTCTTCTAAGGAATCCATGTCTGAAAAGTACAATTTAAAATACTAATGAACTGATACAGTTGTGAGTTTATTAGTGCTACGCTGTAAGGACTAGTGCTATGAGTAAGCTATACCCCTGTCATTTCATCCTGAACCTAGCATTATAACCATCCTACAACTAATATCAAGCAGATAAAACTGCTGAGGTAATACACACCTCACACCTTTCTCAAAGTGTTTAGATAGCAGAACATGTATCTTCAGTGAGTGAGTGAGTTTTACGCCACACTCAGCAATATTCCAGCTATATGGCAGCGGTCTGTAAATAATCGAGTCTGGACCAGACAATCCAGTGACAAACAGCATGAGTTTCGATCTGTGCAATTGGGTACCTATGACATGTGTCAACCAAGTCATCGAGACTGTCCACCCGATCCCCATAGTCGCCTCTTAATATAAGCATAGTCGCCTTTTATAGCAAGCATTGGTTGCTGAAGGCTTTTTCTACCCGGCACCTTCACGGGTCACATGCATCTTCAGAAATAAATGTACCTGTTAAGCGGGATGCATGGTTGTGTGGCATGGACATACTTGGTATGTCCGAGTGTTATGATTGGTTTGTGCCAGTTAGTTTGTAAGTATTATAACCAGGATAGGATATTTAGAGTTGAAAACATTATATACATTTTATATATATTTAAGGAAAATTAGAAGTCAAGTTAAGAAGGGTGAATGTACTGGGAAAGTGTATTGACCAAGCTAACCGAACTGTTATTGATTCACTTTTCTTGGGGGAATAACAATTTCTCTGAATTGACATCAATGAGGGTGAAAGGTTTAAACTGGTGTTTCTACACAATTGGGTGGATGGACATTTGGGATACAGATGGTCAGTTTGGTCAGTTTGTCAATAAAGGGGCATGCATAGTATCTGAAATCATTTCATTAAGTATCTTCTGGCACCTACCAGTCTGAAATATTAGTTAGATATGTCATGGTTTGGTTGATGTATGGCTTAAGGATAAGTAGCAATGTCATTTTATCAATGGAAGAATTTGATGGTACCAAATAAAGTCTCCGAAAGGCACTAATGAAAGTAACTAATTATTAAGATTGTATACAAGTCATTTTTGTATGAGGTAGTACATCATTTCTGGGGGTGGAGAGGAGCTTAAAATTGTCAAAGAAGGCTTTTCACACATTTCGAGGGGAAGAGAAGATACTCTGGGCCCACCATTGACTTGAGAGGTTCTCTCTGTATATTGAGGAAATGGCTCAGATGAAATTGTAACTTTAGGAGTTGTGCAAGAAACCAACAAGTTCTTCCAGAAAGTTTGTGAAATAATGGTGTGTGTAATTCAGGAGAATTAGGTAGTTTCTGAGTACCTTTGTGAAGAATTCATTCCAAAATAAATGGACCTGAACACCATACTGGACTTATCTTTGACTATCGATCTTAGCTACATCATCCCCGGAACCAGAGTGGCAAGACAAATTGCCTAGGGAGAAGGGTATAACACCCTGACACCCTCAGGTAACAGTATTGTAAATACTCCTTAATTCTCTATCTCTAATATATAGCTTTGTTTCAACTCACTACAGTCACTGAAGTTATATAATTAATAATTCATGTATTTTAAGTAACTTTCTTGATTTAAGCTCATATCGGCACTGAAACAGTTCAAATAGTTAATCGCCTAGTTGTAATAATACAATCAAAAGTGTCTACTCAACTGTGACAACACATTACCATCAGTCTGTTCAAACCTGCATGATTTTTCTATGCCTGAACACCTTGCATCCTTACACAACTCACAAACCTTGTGTGACAGACGCACAAACACAAACTAATTCTCATCAGATTAGTAAACTAACTTATCTTAAATAATGTTTATGCATGTCTAATTTAGCAATAAATCAATAAGTAATATTAAAGACATAACATATATCAAATAAAGGTAATTACCGCTGTCAGGGTAGTTAGCGTGTGATGTCATCATCAAGCGGGTACACGCAAAGCTTCTATTTTAATGTGTATCATATATTCTCTCTTAAACATAAATAACATTAAATAACTATAAAGCAAGGGATTGTGAGTATGATTTGTGTATGAATGTTGATTATTTTTATCTCATGTTGCACAAACAATGGCAAAGTATCTCAATGTAAGGTTTTACAGTGTATAAAACATATCTTTCCATGCTTATTGTTATGTCTGCATGGTCACTTTATACTGAATCGGTTTGGTTTTCATCACAATCTTTATTATTTCCAGCACACATTATTCCATCGTCTGCTGTGAAAGCCAGGCATAAACACGGGCAAATGTGCCAAACATACGGTGTGTGATGTCTCGTACAATACCGTTTATATCATGAATATATATCATTCTAACATAAATAATCGTCGTTCCTTGATGTTAACCTCCTGAGGTAAGTCGAGTATGCTGTGCAGCCATTGCCGCCGATATCATTTAAGGTTTTGTTTAAGTCATGTCATGAGTTATCGCCACTGATCTTTGTAAAGTCCAATGCCTCAGCCATTATTCTATTTCTGTAATGCCTTAATGCACAGATAACATTGTCGGCGCTCATGCATTCAAGCTCTGTAGCATTAATAATGAATAATTATAAATAGATGTAAATGTAGGTTCAGGTGTAAACATGCTTAACATTGACCTTATCTTGTTGACACAATTGTTTCAGGGTTTATCGTGTACACTGAAATGTTCAAGCCACTTGTACATAAACTTACAGCCCTGCAATCACTTTGCGTGTTGTCATTGCCACCCTGCTACAGTTGTTTCACGAGTGAACTTTCCCATACGGTGGAAAGGGAATAAACCAGACATAACTGCCCACTATCATATTTTACCTATACCTCTGCTACATGTTCTTGCCATACCTTAAATCTCTTAGGTTACCATTGTTCAGAAACGTATTTCATCCTTGATGACGCCTTCATCGCAAAAGGATAAGCCCTCATTGCTAAAAGTACTACTGCGGGAGAATATATCAGTTTCAAGTGCCAAGGTTAGAGAGAGACCCAATTGTCAGCTTGGCAAAAATGCTGCAGTTGACATGATTTTTCACATTGGATTCAGTGCTTAATGGGTGTTTAGATTGACGATGCATTTTGGGTTTATTACCATTTATCAGTATCTTTGGTTGCACAGTTCACACAACCAGTAATGTTCATTTGATAGAAACTGCCAATGTTTATGAAATTCCATTTCAGGCAGTGTAATATAGGTTATATCAGACACTGGTAGTTGCCAGGAGGGGGTAATACATTTCACTTTGTCACTCCATGAATTGTGTTATGGATGACTTGGTGGTTACATACATGTGATGTACAGAGCAACTCACATTAAACCCATTCATAATGCTGCACAGTCAAATTTGTGTTGTATATAGTTAAGAATTATAAATACAAAGGTACGTAGTTTTGTGAACAAACATGTAAATGTTTGAAGTTGTCGGTTATATTTTGATGAGATACACAATATGATTGAATAAGCTATATGTTACCATTGCAGGGATAGAAATCCTAGTTTTTCTAAGTGTGCCTTAGGGCACCAGTAAATATTTTAGGTGTGCGTTTCAGAAATCAAGTGTGCCCACATGTTTTTAGAAACACAATGACTGTAGCAAGGATGATGATCTTTTGGAATTTATTGTCAGAAAACAACAAATGTAACCAGTTTTCGGTTTTCACTGATATGTCTTCTGCTTAAGATGGCTTTCTTATGTTACATTTGTTCTGCTTTCCCATCACCTTTAATAGCTAGGAATGGTGTGAAAGGTTCACTTTTGTCAATATATGGAACATACACAATTTTCTCTTCACTAACCGAACTATCAGTACTCACAACATTCTCAAGGGAAAAGCAACCATATTTCTTTACATCATCTATCATAATTCCAGTAATTTCCGGGGCGTAAAAGTCAATAAATGTTTTTGCTTGTTTGTCATTTGCAGAAGTGTTTTGTTTGGGAATTAAATGACTACAGGTGTGCTATGTCTCTAAAAAATTAGGCGTGCCATAAGAGCACTAAGAACATTTTTTATCTGTGCCATTTCGATATTTACTGTGCCATAGCACACTAATACATAGGGCATTTCGAACCCTGCATTGTATGAAATATGTTCATAGTCAACACTCAACATTCAACATAAGCCATCTAAACATCCATCTAATCTTAACATTAATCTGTGTCAGTACTACTCATTTACACTACTTGCTTTTATCACTCCCTAAGCATGACCATAAACCTTGGGCTAGTGTGCATATTTGTTTGGTCATCATGCAAGCATATAAGGTATGAAGGTATTTCAAGGTTAATTGCATCTTGTGTCTTGGTTAGTGTCATATGTTCTCAGTGCGCACGATTTGTTTTGCGCAAATTCAAACAGATCTAGGTATATGGGTATCTGCACTGATTTCCATGTATACAAGGTTAGTAATCTCCGGTCATCTGTGTATATTTATTGTGGTTTTATGTGTGCATTTGATAGTTGAAGGTTATATTGGCTATGGTTTAAAGTATGTTCAATGTTGAACTGTCTGTTATGTGTAAACATGGTAACTGACAGCAGTGTAGGAAAAATGTAGAAAATCTAGCCTGTCCACAGGACTGGCTGGTCAAATTTTTCACCAGTCCTGCCAAAATCTAGCCTGTACTCCAAACATAAATAAAAAAACATTTTAACACTTAAAACTGGTTTGTTTTATTTTAAGCTATAATATAATATTCACACACAGAGCTTGGGCTGTTAAATCTCTCCTAGTGGAATCATCTAATTATTCTAGTATCCTTTGGCAGTAAATATTCAAAAAGGTAATAATATAATAATTATTATGTCATTGGTTTGCTAAAACTGACCGACATGAGGACGGACCATATGTTTTTTTAACCTGTCCTCCACAAAATTCACCCGTCTCGGACGTTGGGACGGGCTATCTTTCCTACACTGCTGACAGTATAGTGAGCTATGTTACTGCTATTAGTGTTTAGTATGTAGGTGGTATTACTGAAACAATTATCCTCTTGTAAAGGTCGATATAGGTTTTTATTGACCTGAGAAGAACAATATCCACCTCATTCTGACCCTCTACAAGAGTCTATCATTGTATAATACTAGAACTCGAATGAAAGTGAGTTCTCAAACTGTACTTATTTGAAGGTTAGCTCCCAGTACAGTCAGTTAGGTTGGTGTTAAGGTTAGGTTTTGACATACATAACAGTGAGTTGTTTGAGTGCTACATTATGTCATTCTATACGTCAGAAATACTACACATCAATGTACTTATATGTCATTAAAGTACAATATGAGACAATAACCTTACTTTCCACAATCCTATTATATTACAGCATTCTTGCTGTTAGCATTATTATCCCTACCATACATCAATGTGTGTGTATGTATGTGTGGTTAGATGTGGTTGTATGTAGCTCTTAGCGTAGTTACTGTTTTAATCATGTGTTGCAAATACCAGGTGCATACACATTTCTACATCCTGCACATCACAAAAACACAAGCAGTGTCACCTATGCTTTCAAAGCAGAAGCTCAGGTAATACCAACCTGGTATGTACCCATTTACTTTCAACTATATTTATCATTAAATAATATTTAATACCTTTGATGTGTTTGCTTGCAGTATAGTTATGCCACGTTGCATAGTTATCACATATGCATCAAGAAGTAATGTGTATCACCATGGTATTAAACATTTAAATATCTGTGAAGTTGTTATGTAAAAAGCCACTGTACATGTGTATGACTTTAATGAAGCATTTGGTTCAGTTCATAAACTTATTATGTAGTCATGCTCAGGGAATCTATGGCACGTATTGTGACCTTGTCAAGAAACATCACTGCTACAGCCTTGTCAACATTTCACAGGCTTAACTCCTGATGCTCTATGCAGGCACCATGGCAACAATTCACAGTATCTCACCTTGAGCAGGGTGAGCCATCCCCCTGAGCTACAGCGACAAGAGATGCAGGTGGGGCCAGTACTGATCTGGGAGAGATGGCAGTGTGTCACAGCTGGTGGTGGTGGCGGGTATCACCCGGCTGCAACAACATCACCCATTTCAATTAGCATTAGGAAGTGAGTTAAAAAAATGCACCAGGAAGCTGCCTACCATGAAGTACAGGTACGATTACAGGGAAACATACAGCATAATGTGTGAACATTTGAGTGAGTATAGTTTTACGCCGCACTCAGCAATATTCCAGCTATATGGTGGCGGCCTGTAAATAATCCAGTCTGCACCAGACAGTCCAGTGATAAACAGCACGGACATCAATCTGTGCAATTGGGAACTTATGACATGTGTCAACCAAGTCAGCGAGCCTAACCCCCCTATCCCGTTAGTCGCCTCTTACCACAAGCATAGTCGCCTTCTATGGCAAGCATGGATTGCGGAAGACCTATTGTACCCCGGCATCTTCACTGGTCGTGAAAATTTGAAATGTTAGCACAGAGACAAAGTGTGTACTATTAGATGAAGTGAGTGAGTTATTATTTCACGTCACATCGGCAATATTTCAGCCATATCGTGACGAGAAATGTTTTATATAAATAATAAGTTAAAGTTGCTAAAGAATCAGTCAGCGAAAGACTGTAAAATAACTAGAGTATCACAGATGGAGTCTAAAACTAGCATGAACATGTAAAACTATTTTATTTACGAAGACAATACAATATAAAAACGGGCTATAGATCGCCAGCAACTGAAGGTAGATCACCATACTAGGAACCATGGGCACTTACATTACTTTTGCTACCTGCATGGACCCTAGTTGTATTTACACCATCCCTTCAGCCATTGGCGACAGAAGAGAAATCTAGCCATAAATTAAAAACACACTTATTCTACGATTAAAAAGCAGGTACACTTAGATTGACTAAATGTTTTGGGACTTACGTACCCTCTCAGGAGGACAATAATTTTACAATACCTCAACCCCCTTTGAGGATACAGCCACTAACAATCTCAGTTGCTAATCTAAACTACCAATAATAAAATATATATCTATTTACAAATCACTCAACAAATCTAATTTTTTTAACAATGCAAGAATTAAATGAGAACTGACATTATGAAAAAGATCCTTCAGAGTTTTGGATTTGAAATACATATCCCTTGTGATGGAATATTCAATGCAGTCAAGCAAGACATGCTTGACTGTGATCCTTTCATCACAAGGGATACAAAACGGAGGATCTTCGCCTTTCAATAAATATTCATGAGTATATCTGGTATGGCCAATGCGACATCGTCGCATAACGACCTCTTCAAATCTGAACTGACAACCCAAGTAAGTGTAACCAATGTAGGGTTTTATTCCATGTAATTTATTAATACCTACTTGGGTGTCCCACTTCTTCTGCATCACATCGCGGATGTATGTTCTAATGCTGGCTTTGTAATCAGAGTATGGAATTAGAAGTGGTGTCACAAATTTGTTGAGTGCTGCCTTAGCAGCAAGATCGGCCATTGTATTCCCAGAAATGCCAACGTGGCTGGGTAACCAACAAAAGACAATGTTGCATTGGCCAGTAGCAAGTTCATTGTACAATTCAATAATTTCTAATAAAAGTGAATGTTTGCAAGAGACATTTTTAATAGCCTGAAGACACGAAAGAGAATCTGAAAAGATGATATATTGTTTATATTTACAGTGTTTATTAATATATTTAAGAGCTGTTAAGATGGCGTTTGCTTCTGCTGTGAATATAGAGCTGTTATTTGGTATTCGAGAAGATATTGTTCGGGATCCAATGACAGTGGCACATGCCACTGCGCCACCATCCTTTGACCCATCTGTAAATAAGGATTTATATGTATTATATTTATTTCTTAATTGACTAAATTCTTGTTTATACTGTAATTCATTTGTTTCTGATTTTTAGATGAAAGGTGACGTGAGGTGAGGTGAAATTGGGTTTTACGTCGTGCTTGAGAATATTTCGCTCATATGACGACGTGCATGCGTGTGTATGTGCACGCCTGCTTGAACTAGCCCAGATTTAAGCTGGTTTTATAGTGCTAGCCTATTAGATGAAAGGGTGAATTAGATCCTGTGTGATGTTTCAGCAAAAACATGGACATTGCCATTCACACTACTGTACATGTGCAGTGATATGCTGAACAAGGATATGTCATTGCTAATGGCCAACATTGTGTAACTTTAAGTTGCATTGAATCAAAATTGCTGGAACACTGCGTTGTGAATATGTGTTGTTTGACATACAACTGGCACTGTGGTGAACATAAGGATAGATGAAAAAAGGTTCAGTATATTCTATCGTATAACGTGTTTCAAGTACTTTGCCTTTGTTCTTGTACAAATCGCATTTCAAAAGGCAATATCTGTATGGTACATGGCCTTTACACAAAACCCTGTTAACACAGTCCACTTAGTGTGGTACTGAGAACACAGGTTATTTAGATAGGTGCATTTTCTGATGTGGCATAAATAGCTGATGTTGTGATGATGAATGTGAATTAGGTCGGTGCCGACATGTAGTCGGCCACTGGTTGTCTTTGGGGCAAAAGAATGTTGGTGATGTAGTTATACCCACTATGCAGGCTGGCTCCAGTCAACATATTACATGCCTCGGATCTCACTCAGTATTGAATACTTCAAAAACTTAGCTCTATACCCTTTGGAAATGGCTTGGATATTGTACATTGTTATTGATAATGTTCTTGGGAGGCATGTAGAAGTTGGTATTCAAGTATAATAAAAAATGGGAGTGTCAAGTTCTTCTTTATGGTTTGCACAACGTTTCTTGGGTATTCCTTGTCCCTTCTACATGTGTATCCATCGTCATCCACCTGAGGAAGGGGCAACAGCCCAGAAACGTTGTGTAAACCATAAAAAGAACGTGACAGTATTTTACACCAAAGCGTCTACTCGCTCTACGCATGCGCAGAGTGAGGCCAAAACACATGAAAACAATACATACATACTAACATTTGTATAGCCGATATCCAGCTCAGCACTTAAACAGTTTCAATAATGCCTATGGTCTACATCCACGAAATGAAGAGGCATAAGTAAATACGTTCGAACGGCGTTGTGCAAAAAGGGTTTATATTTTCGTTGAAACGATATCGGAAAGCCCGCGAAATAACCAGCCCTCAATCGTTTACATTACCATTGGACTAGCTCCCCGCCAAACACTGTGACAGCTGCCATGTTCTGATTATCACATGTACACTAAAAACCCATAAAATATCACATAACAACAGTACCTCGTGTGAGATAAATTGCCTCAGAAAATGGGTGAAGCGTCCACTCGTGAAAATACGCGCACCTGTGTGTCCACCATTTGCAATGAGAGGGGAGGTAACTCTTCCCACAATGCAATCGTGATCACTCGCTCCCACGCTCCTACCCACAGTTCAATGCGGCAGGCCTCCCCTCACTGCAAATGGCTGACCAACATGGTTCGTCTCATCACGGGTGAACACTCGGCCCATTTTCTGTGGGATTTTCTCTCCAAAAAGGTATTGTTATTATGTCATATGTTTCCTTTGGCTTTCTTGTCTGGATGCTATTATGTAAGAATGTCTACTGTCACTTTGAATTTATTTATTTCACCTAGTCCTATGGTTTGGTTATGCATTCACGAGGGCTTGGTATTTCACGCACATTACCTATATCGTTTTAACGATTATATAAACCCGTTCAAGCTATAACTGCACACCTGCGTTCAAACGTATTTACTGAATCCTTTTTATTTCCTGGATGTAGGTTATCGGCAGTATTGAAACTCATCAAGTCCAAGTTTTGTGTATTGGCTTCATATGGTTGGTTTCACATTAATTTTAGGCTCGCTGTGCGCATGCGCAGAGCGTGTAAAAATATACACGGGCCAACTTCCGGTTTGGTCGTAAGCTTTACCGATAGCGTAAACGTACTCTAAAGAAAGCAAAAATCCAAACAAATATATGGTTTTGTGTCGAATTTAAGTAATTTCCATTCATTTATGAATGCCTCACACTCGAAATATAAATCGTTATGATTAATATTGACATGTACCCACAAGTTCATAGCTTATTAGAAACATTAACTGAGCTTGGTTTCTAAAAGTCCATGTTCGTAGTCACAGATAAGATGCATATCTGCCTAAATCACGCAAATATTCGTGAAAAGTCAACTCCCATGAAGTTTATTGAGTACAAGTACTCTTGAATTTGTGTACATATTCAGTAAATGTTTTCTTACATGCATACACACACAAATGTGGAGTCTTATCTTGCGCACCAGTGGATAGATCAAATAACTCATTTACACAGACAGGTTCTATTTCAGCACATATGCTTGGCAACTTGCAGTCTTTCTTATCATGTGTCATATTACATATCGAATGTAGGTGTAAATAACAAACACTAACTTTTAAACTTTCATTTATTTTTACAATCAATGAAAAATGGCAAAGTACCCCATTGAGATTTGATTGAGGTGAGTACAATGTGTTTGGTTACTCACCTGTAAATTCCCAATTGAGATGAACACAAGCGAGTGCATATCTCAATCACACATACAATTTCTGTAGCCCTGTATGTTGGTTGCAATTGATTTTCACATGTGGCAATTACTTGTCATAATTTACAAGTGGCAAGTTGGTGTGCAATTGAGATTAGAAAAGCCTACATCAATATTTATCAGAGGGCACTGTAGATAGGAGAGTAATTGTGGTCTGAGGCCTCAGCTAGTGTGAGCTAGTGCAAGTTTTTCAATGGCTGTGTTTCACTTACTCTTGAAAACATTCACTTGTTCTTGTGTACATTGTCTAAATATGTGTAATATCCCAACGCTCCACAGGTATACAGCTACGAATGTGAAGCATTGAGTCCCCCATGAGCTCCATGGCATATGTCATATACTGACTGGAGCAAGCATGTCTGGTGGGTATATACCCATTATACCAGGGTTTTACATAGCTCTTCGAAACTGGGAGTCCTGGGTACTCAGGGCATATTTTTTTGAGAGTCCATTTCCAAAATTGGGGGTCCATCAATTTGCATTAAATCAATGATAATGAATCCTTCCCATTTGATAATGATTATGTTAGGATATGTGTTACTTTCAATGTCATTAGAATAATGATTGTAAATAGAATGTTGATATTTTAATATGGGATATCATTACAAACTCAGAAAGTTCTTTCCCATAAAAAAATTATATTGCGTCTACAAGGACCCCGAGGATTTTAGTTTGGGGGTACTTCACCAAATTTCTGCATCCAATGCGCAGGAATCTTGCGTCCCGTAAAACCCTGTTATACTCTATGGGGGATACAAATACATAACTATCAAATTGGCACAATTATAAATGAAACCCCATAATTTAAACAGTCATTTTTATCTGTAATGAAGTGAAATGCACCTTTTGGACAACAATGCACAATTCTCACATTTCATTATAAGTTATGTCAATGCCGAAATTAAACAATCCCACTTTGCCATTGCTAGAAGTTTCTGAAAATTTACCTTGGTAAATAGGGTCTTACATCTTTATGAGAGCTGCAACGAATACACTTTCAGGCGAATATGATACGTATGATGAATATTAGGTCACGAAAATGAATAATTATTCAAGAATACAATATTGTAGTGAATTGATTGGTGTATAATATGGAACACCCCTGTGGACAGGTTTGATTTGTCACAGCAATGACCACTGATCTCATGACAGTCTAATTAGGTATGTAATAGTTATAGATGACAGTACCATGTGCAGCCTTCACAAACTAACATCACTTTCGCTACTGCCAGGCTAATAAGTAGTCATAACTACAGAATACATATGTAGGCATTGGCACATGTTGTTTTGTAGTGTATATGAATTACAACTAGTGTATGTTTGACTGCATCTGGTAACAAGCAAGGTACAAGTCATTTCACATCACCCATTATATCTCAGCCCATATTTACATGTACATAAGTGTACATAGTACAGTGTATGAAAACGTCTACGGCATGTTTCACTGTTTCTAATCACCTGCAAGGCATAAATTATATTTAGCATTCAAGTGTATTCTTTAAAGTTTACAATCAAATATTGAGCTACAAATCTTAGCATAGCGTGTGCACAGCTGACCCAACTGTAAGAAAATTGAACACATGGTGTTGTTTGTAAAGGCAAGAAATTTGCTTGATTGAAAGTAACTTAATATTTCTTGCTGGATGCTTTTAAAATTAGGTTGTCTCCCTGAAACCATATACTGAAACCATTTTCGATTGATGCTTCCATTACATCCATTAGCCATCAAATTAATGTTTCCCCATTCCTTCTGTTGGAAGTCTTTATCCAATATTTCTTCCCATTTTCATTGGTCATTTGTTTTATTATAACAAAATGCACATAGTGTTTTGTATACGGTAGAATAGGGTGGGCAAGTATGTCTCCACCTGATATGATATTTCTCTTTTGTACATATCCAATGATTGCGCTTTTAAAGAACCAATAAACTTTGTTTTTTGTTACTCTTTTAACTATTACATATGAAAGATTTGTGGTTAGTCTTATGCGGAACACCAAATTTATTCTTAAAAAACTTGTGGTTAATTAATACCGATCGATTAAAAGTGGCCCAAAAGTCGCCTGCTTCACTCTCGCCCGCCAACGAAACCACACACAGGTTCCGTAACTGTCGCCAGAGCACTGCAGTGACGTCATATGAGGAACGATTTTCAGTTAGTTGTATAGAAAGTGTGTAGCACGCTCATCATTTTGATGATTTCGACATCAACGATGACATGCTGAATCGTTGCTATGTCGTCAATTGCTCTAGGGGTCGGGCGATGGTGTCCCGATGCACAGATTTCCACAGGACCCGCGCAGTTAGTGCTAAATAGGTTATGTTTGTGAGTCACGAAGCGGCGTTGTGGAAGCCTGAAGCGATATCTTACTTGTGTTCAGATCGCTTCACAGAAGTTAAAGAATCTAAACTACTTACTAGTTGTAGTAAAATATGTATATGATTGATGACCATAAAGATTTTCCATGACACAACTTGTAACAGAGCGATTTCTTCCTCTGAAGTCAGGTTGTGGTCGAGTAACAATAATATTGTAAGTAGTATTATATTGACACCCACCTGCTGCTGCCAGGAAATTCTTATGTTATTAAGCTATGTCATGCAAAATCCTATTGGCCATCAATAAAATACATATTTTACTACAAGTAGAAAGTAGTTTTTATTTTTGTAACTTCGGTAAAACCCACGCATAAATACCATTTATCCTCACACTGGCGGATGTTCCCGACAGGGCGGGGCGCCGCAATTTTTTAAAATAAAAAAAACTGTTATAATTAATGAGATTATAGTTAGTTTTCATCAAGCTAGAAAATCAAAACTAATTTCTACTCGTAGTTAAATATGTATTGGAATCATAACCAAACAGAGTTTGCATGACACAACTTATAACATAACCATTTCTTCCATGGAAGCGAGGTGGGGGGCGAAGTCACAATACTGCACGATATATTTCTTGCTACATTCCCATGGTTAATGTCCACTCACCAGTATGTAGATACTAGTCAATGTAATAGCCTTTATATTTGGTCTTATAATCCTAATTAGTTTATTATCATATTTGTATGCATTTTGAAACTAAATAAAAAGCAGACGATCTGCTGATACTTATAGTGAATTTATAACAGAACTGTAATATCTAGACATTTTATAGTTTGCCAATGTGAATCATAATTCGCACACACAGCCTAGTGCATGTTGTCTGTCTCATTACACTTCACGGCGAAACAATGATTATGTTGAATGCTACGACAAATGAATAAAAACAAAATGCAAATATTAAAATGAAAACAGATTAATGTTATAGGAACAATATCAGGCCATTACCTTGTTCGAGGAATGTATCCATCAATATCCACAAAACTGTTCCAAATGATGTGTCTTTTAACAGTTTAATATACGAAAAAGTCATAAATCTTTTCAGGTATTGGTGTATAGTCTCATTGGTCACCCAAGATAGCACACCTGGCAACTAATTGCATAATCTCCGCCTTTCTTTAAAAACAGTAATATAGCTAGCCAATAATGGGCAATCAATCAATGTATTGCCGGTTAATCCTTTGAAAGAAGGGCGTTGTTTTTAACGCAGAACACCCGACAGAGTGTATTCAGTATAGATTAGTAAATCTACATACATAAACACTACCTTTTGACAATTCCGCTGTGTAAGATAAAAGTAATTAATCAATCAGCGTCTTATCGGTTAATCCTTTGATCGATGTTTATAATGTTGAATATTTTCTCCAGACACAAGAAATGCCAAATGGGAACCTTTGTCGGGTAATCTAAGT